AGTACACATTAGATGAGATGATCTCCACTGTTCTGACCTCAGTGTTGGCTCGTCCTCTCAGGCAGCATCAAACAAACATCTGCAGCTGGAAACAGCTGTTGTTAGTGTTGAATGATTGACAGATGGATGAAGCAATCAGGACGCACAGACTGTCTCCCAGTCTCCATACTGGTCCTGGTGGTCTCTGCCTTATTGTGAGCAGCTGTAGTAACACACTGCTGAACTCTGTGAGGGCCGAGCAGGAGGAGTCTACAGACTGATCCTGGACTGAGACTCTCCTTCAGAGGAAACTTGGAGAACAGCTCGGGACAGTCGAGTGTGTGGTTTCTCACAGGACGAGCGAAATGTTGGACTGATCCACAGAGAGTCCACGTTCAGTCCAGGACCAGTTTAATCTGAGTCTGCTAGTCAGGACTACAACTCAGAGAGAGAGAGAGACTCAGTGTGTCTCTGATGTAATAATAAAGGATTTAAACTATACCTCTCTCTCTCTCTCTCTCTCTCTCTCTCTCTCTCTTCTCTCTCTCTCTCCCTCTTTCGCTCTCTCTCTCTCTCTCTCTCTCTCCCTCTCTCTCTCTCTCTCAGGTGTTCACATTGCCCAGAGGATGGTAGGCTGTGAGTGGGATGATGAGACTGGAGATGTTAATGGTTATGAACAGTATGGTTATGATGGAGAAGACTTCATAGTTCTGGACATGAAGACAATGACGTGGGTCGCTCCACAACAACAGGCTGTCGTCACCAAACAGAAGTGGATAAAGACAAAGCTCAGTTAGAGATCTTAAGAACTACCTCACCAAGAGTGTCTGACTGGCTGAAGAAGTTGTGAACTATGGGAGGAGCTCTCTGATGAGAACAGGTAGGATCAAATGACCTGATGGAGTTGAATTCTGACAATGTTCATCTTCTTCTTTTCTTGTTTATCTTGTAATTGAACAATAAATATTTCACACATGTTTCTATCACACATGCTCTGTCTTCATCTTTAAGCTTCCCCTTACCTTTCCCTTCATGTTAGATCTCTTTCTCTCTGCTGCTCATCGCTCTCTCTCAAAGTTTCTCTGTGTTTTTATTGTACTTTCTCTCTCTCCTCTTCTTCTTCTTCATCAATCCATCTGAACCCCCCTCACCTCTCTTCTTCTGTTTCTTCCCCTCTGACCCTCTCTTCTTTGAATTATACTTTAATAAGGTTGATTTTCATTGTTGACTCACTGGATTTTAAAGTCCCTTTTTTTCCCAGTACATTTAAAAAGTGTCATCAAACATGAGTTGTAACAGTATTTAAGAGTAAATCCTGATAAAGAAACTCTAATCTGTCTTCCTGTTTGTCCTCCAGACCTCCCCACAGTGTCTCTCCTCCAGAAGACTCCCTCCTCTCGGGTCACCTGCCACGCTACAGGTTTCTACCCCAACAGAGCCATGATGTTCTGGAGGAAAGATGGAGAGGAGCTTCACGAGGACGTGGACAAGGGAGAGATCCTCCCCAACCACGACGGCTCCTTCCAGATCAGCGCTGACCTTCAACTGCCCTCTGATGACTGGGGGAAGTACGACTGTGTGTTTCAGCTCTCTGGTGTGAAGGAGGACATCGTCACCAAACTGGACAAACGAGAGATCAAGACCAACTACGGTAAGACCTCGATGAGAAGTGATGAAAGAGAGGATTTGACTGTAACAGTCGTGTGATGGAGGGAAAGTTTAGTTGTGACTTTTTCTTTCTTTCAAACTCTTCAAATTGTAAAAGTATTCAGAAAAAGAGTTTAAAGGTTTGGATCAGGATGAAACAAACACAGAGATCTTTAAAGAGATTATTAATGGACAGAATCGTTTTGTTTTTTACCGTCTGTCCGCTCGTTACCACAGTGCAGCCGCATTAACCTTTAAATGACTTTAAATCAATAATATTGAGAAAAAAGGGTTTGAATGTAATCGTTAGCGGTTACCATTGTGCCACAATCAAACATGGAAATAAAAGACATAAAGGTGAAGGGAAAAAACAACTACATGTAGAAAATGAATCAAAGGTACAGTGATGAAGACGAGCTAACTGACAGAAGGAGAAACTTTGTCTTTAATGAACCTTTAACCTGTTTGATCACAGGTTGTGTGACTGTGTGTTGTTTGTGTTCAACAGTGAATCCCATCTACATGATCATTGTCATCATCGCTGTTGTTCTCCTTCTTGTAACCATCGTCTGTGCGGCTGGATTCTGCCTGTATAAGAAGAGAAATGGTGAGAGAGCAAAGTGGAAACATTCAAACATGTTTTTTATATTTACATCTGGTGAATAGTTCTCTTGAGGGGACCTTAAATAACCTTCAATGAAATAAATCTAGAACAATCTTTTTTTTTCTGTTTCAGCCAAACGCCCTCCATCCGTAAGTAGAACTTGATTTTATTATATTAAGTTTGACCTTAAATGAACTCTGTAAATGAAAAAGGGTTTCTGGAGTGTTTTCTGGTGTAAATGATGGTTTCAGAGTCGGATGTGTGCTAACATTGTGTTTCTGATCTTACAGCGGTAAACGACCCGGCTGTGCAACAAATGATGCTTCCAAATCAAAATACCTAAAAGACAAAGAGAGGACCCTGAACCCAGTGAGTTACATGAAATAAGCCTTTAATTCAGGATATAGTCATTGTTCTGGTGGTGTGTGTGGTAAGTCAGGAAGACACTGCATGTAAACATTACTTCTGCTGCTGCGTCACCTGGACAGAGGCGGTAACCACAGCTACAGGCAGAGAGAAAAGAGAGTCACAGGTGAATGGGGAAGAGGAATCAGGAATCAGAGGAAGACACACAGTTTTTAAACCGTGTGTGTGTGAACGTGTTTTTGAGTCCTGTCATGTTTATTATCATGTTTTCATATACGAGCTTATTCTTTTCTTTTTGGTTGTTACAGTAATTCTTTAAATCTGATTATAAAACTGCATAAAGGAGATCGTTTCTTTGTTATTGTAAAAAAGTTGATGACTCATTTTAGTGAAAAAGTGTATTTGAAGTGAAGGGAGATGATTTAAAGAAAGGTGCTTCAATGATGAAATCACCGTGACCTTTGACCTTGATGTTAAAACCTGGATTTGTGGATAAATTCTGTAAAAAAAGTGATGATAAATATTTTTTAATGTCATGTTTTCTCTTTCTTCTGTCTTTTTCTCTAAAGGTTTACGGGTACGTTCTGCACTGAAACAAGGAGCAGACCGACACGCTCTCCTCAGAATTCATTGGCTCTCATCGTATCAGACATGAAGTGATCAGAGTTGGGAATTTAAATTTAAATCTTTGAAATACAAAGAAAACAAGTTTGAAAAAGAGTTGACAAATGCTTTACAAATCTTCTTTAGGGTTGTTTGGTGACGTTAGTTTCAAATATAAAAAGCTTTTCCGCTGATAAAAGACGCTTAAATAATTTAAATGAAAACTTGATGATTTATTTTCCGTCACCTGGAGAGAAGAGAATCAGAAGATGAATCTATGACGGCATCACGCCGCTCTTCATGTGTTGAAGAAAGATTTGTGTGTTGATCTAAAATCCATCATAGTTGGATTTTTATACTTCTGGTGTTCGGAGCTTTGTGCTAAAACAAATGTTGGTGATAAATACGTTAATAAAGACACACACACACACACACACACACACACACACAACAATACAAACATTAAACATTTTGTTTTCCAGTTGTGTAAATAGTTTCGCTTATTTCTTTTTTTAGATTTATTTTTGGCCTTTTGGTACCTTTACTGTAGAGATAGGACAGAGGATAGAGTCTGAAATCAGGGAGAGAGAGAGAGCGGGGAATGACGTGCAGGAAAGGAGCCACAGGTCGGATTTGAACCTGGTCCGCCCGCTTGTAGGACCATAGCCTCCATTCACCAGCTCCTCAGTACTGTTTATTTCTGCATAAGTAATGAAGTGTGTTGATTTAAACGAGGCTCAAGAGATTTATAATGTTTGTGTTTTAAGGTTTTTCATTAGTAATCAGGACTATGTTGTTTTTTCTTCTGTGATATATATTTTTATATTAAGTTTAAATGCTTCAGCTGATCACACATTGATGTGATGAAAAGAAAAGTTGTTAGTTTTATTTGAGTTAAGATCTTGAATGGTTGGTGGGATGTTGAATGTTTCTCTGTGAAGCTGTCTGTAAATATAGATTTAGTGTTTCAATAAAGCCCTTAAACATTCAAAGTGTGTGTCTTCTTGTGATTTCACATAAAGTGTCTGAATAAATGAGGAGCAGATTTCCAGATATGAAGACCTGTGTGTGTTTTCCATAAATGATAATAAAAGATATTGCTGCAGATTTTCTTTCAGTCTTTTTCTGTTGTTAAAAACTTGTTTTCCCTGCCAAACATTAAAAACATGTTGGTCTCTGATATGAAGCTCTGGTGTAAGTTCAGTCAGGAAGACTTTATATTTGCCTTCACGATCGGGTCTTTCTCTCATTCTTCCCTTTTTGCACGCTCGCTCACGTTTCCCCTGTTATTCTCCAGCTGTCATTGGATAATCAGCTGTCTCGTCAGCGGTACTCATCTAACCAATGGCATGGCGTTCCTCCTTCATTGTCAGCCTATCATCGTTCTGCTCTCTTTTAAATGTGATTCTTTCTCTGCCTTTAGTTCCTTCATGTTGATGTTTCGTGCGCCCCTCCACCTCCCCATCACCGCCCGTTTTCACAGAATCATCATCCATCAACTCTTCACCCATCCGGTCTCATCATGTCCTCAGCTTCAGCACCACCAGGGTCTGGACTCCATCAGGGGATTTATTCTGTCAACACTCAGAATTGTTATTCTTCAAACATCAATCACCCCCATAGAGTCCAAGCTCCAAAGTATTTCTGTCAAGTCACATTTCCATCTTATCCATTATAATAAATCATTTTTTTCTTAATTCACTCGTCTCTCCTGATTTAAATTCGACTACCTATCTGGAGGAGCCATGTTTATGAAGTGCAGAACATAAATAGTTCCAGCAGGTGTCGCCTTGTGGTTAAGATGATAATCTATGAAGGTAGGAACTTTCACTGAGGTGTCAGGTGTTGCTAGACGGGGAGTAAATACACTTTTTTGACTGCTGTACACTATGAGGTGACAGAGTGAATCTGAATTGAAATGTCTGGATTATTGTTTGAACAGTTCACATGTGACAGTAATCAAGACATTGATGGAATGAGAAATAAATATTCCTAAACAAAGAAGATATTGGACTGTCTTATTTTGAATGCTTACGCTCAGGATCGAAGCCGGCAAGCGGCTCAATTAATAAACTAGATTAGTCCGTCTATGTAGATCCTCAGTGGCTTTAAGTTCAGGCTTAGCCGCTATATTCAAGTCAAATAAGTTGTTAATGACGCTTGAAGAGCTTCACCACGACGGAAATCAAGTGGATCATTGCTCGTCGTTTCCAGCTGACAGGACGCTGGAAATCGGAAACTACAAGCCGGGTGTAAACACCGGAGCCAGCCGGCCGCAGCATCCATCTTTCGGCGAGAGGACGCCGGCTACAACACCATTGCCTGCTGAGGTTCGGGGCCGATAAGCAGATCGCTTCTCTCGGTTCGAGTGACTGTGCCTGTGGGAGGATTTCAGGAGCTGATCTTCACGCAGAGGAGTTTGCATCGGGATCATCCAGGCGCCCAACGTGAGGTAGGCTACGTGTAGCGCTACTAATGAATGGCCATTCATATTTTGTGTGCACAGCGATCGCTACAAACCTGTAAAGGTTCCAATGCATTGGTGGTCGAAGCCACAGGACGATTGACTTTGTTTGCGTGTTGCGAGCTGACTGTGAACAATGGATACGCGCGTTAATGACGTTGACAGCCCCGCTGAGGCTATTGCGCAATCAGTGGAAACGAACACTTCAGGTGTTGATAAACAAAAACATGCTGTAAAGTTAACTCCTAAGGCCTTTGCTGAAAGGTTGGAAATGTTGCAAAGTGAAAGAAAAGCTGAGCTAAACAAGGCTAGAAAATTAAGAGCAAATGTGCAAAAAGATGATAACAAATCAGAGGTGCAACGTGTTTATAATGAGCTTGTCAATTTGTGTGATGAAGTAAAAGGTATTCATGGGTCTGTGTTGTGTGTGTTACCTGCTGATGAAAAGGAAAGGCATGAAACCTGGTTTAAAGCAAAAATGATGTTTAATGATGAATGTATTGCTGACATCAAAAGGTGGGTGGTATAAAAAAGTTTGCTGTGAGGGACTAAACACGGGAGTGAAGCTGTGACGCGCTGTCGTTATAAATGACTTCCAGATCCAAGATGCTTTAGTCATTTATTCTTCCAAAAACAAAACAAGATACTACAAACGCAGTTATCGGGTCATCAAATCAACTTGTGATCGCAGTGCAGTGTAGTGTGGCGGTCAACAGAAACTGTCTCTTCCCACGCTCACCCCCTCTCTCCATCCAAGCCAAAAACCAGGTGAACAGGTGAGTGCGGCTCATATAATCACTGCCATCACCACGAGATTTCCGGTGAACACACCCACCACCAGGAACAAGCAGACCGTAAACAATAAACAAATCAGTAAACAACCCATGACACCAAATACACAATCAACTTACATTTATGGCTCCTACAGGTGGTATCTTCTGAACAAAATGCATGCAAAGGTGATCATGAACTGGATACTGGTGATGATGATGATGATGTCAATCCCGAGGACAGTGTTTCAAATGTTTCTTGCAAATACTCAAGCAGAAAAAGCTCATCCAGTGGAAAGTCAAGCACAGCTTCCTCTGCAAGAATTAAAGCCGAGGCTGATCGAGCTGCACTGTTGGCTCATGTGGAAGCTTTAAAGGAAATGCACGCTCTGCAGCAGGGGTGGCCAACCAGTCAGAGACTAAGAGCCACATGTTTTACTGTCTTACTGCAAAGAGCCACATCATACACACAGGCACACATAAACATCGCCCTGTCCCTTCACCTCTCTTCTGCTCTCTGCCTCACTCTCCTCCTCCACGTTCTTCTCTATTTCTCTCTCAAACACACAGATTTAAAAAAAAAAATAACAATAGCCTTGACACTCACACACACACACACACACTCACACAGAGACACACACACACACACACACACACACACACCTTCACACACACTCACACAGAGACACACACACACACACACACACACACACACACACACAGAGACACACACACACACTCACACAGAGACACACACACACACACACACACACACACACACATACACACACACACACACACAGAGACACACACACACACACACACACACACACACACACAGAGACACACACACACACTCACACAGAGACACACACACACACACACACACACACACACACACACACACACCCTCACACAGAGACACACACACACACACACACACACACACACACACACACACAGAGACACCCTCACACACACACACACACACACACCTCACACAGAGACACACACACACACACACACACACACACACACACACACACACACACACACACACACCCCTCACACAGAGACACACACACACCCTCACACACACACACACACACACACCCTCACACACACACACACACACACACACACACACACACCCTCACACACACACACACACACACACACACACACACACTCACACAGAGACACACACACACCCTCACACACACACACACACACACACACCCTCACACAGAGACACACACACCCTCACACACACACACACACACACACACACACACACACCCTCACACAGAGACACACACACACCCTCACACACACACACACACACACACACACACACACACATACCTCTGCTCAGCCACATTTACTGTATATGTCACACACCAACATGATATTGACAAAAATGGACTTAAAACTAACTAAGACCACAGGCCGGTCACTGTCAACAAGGAACATTGTGTGCACTGTCTCACACACACAAACTCTCAGTTCAACCAAGTCCACAAACAAAAATGTAAACATTTACAATAGTGTCAATAACAAAATGCGTGAAAAGTTTTACTCTGCATGTTGCTTCTTAGTGGGACTTCTAGCATTCCTTGCCTTCAGTGAGAAGGCTACAGAAGAAAATGGGCTCTCAAGGGAGGACATCAAATTCATGGAGAGTGGAAAAGTCAGCAGCTCTGGAGGACGGTCACTACAGCCTGAAGTTTCCCTTTAAGAAAGACAGCCTGTCCCTGCCCAACAACTTTCCGGTGGTGAAGCAAAGGTTACTTGGTCTGAAAAGGAAGCTTTTGAACAACAAACAGTACCATGAAGAATATAAAACATGCCTCAATGAGTTGATGAGTAAAGGCTATGCAGAGCCAGCTACACATCATTTGGATTGTAGCAGTGGCAAGGTGTGGTATATTCCCCACCACGGTGTATATCACCCAAAGAAGAGGACTCTGCGAGTGATGTTCGACTGTGGTGCAACGTTCAAAGCGACATCTTTGAACCATCAACTCTTGCAAGGTCCCAATCTCACTAGCACCTTGCTAGGGGTCCTCCTAAGATTCAGGCAAGAACCAGTTGCAGTCATGGGTGACATACAGGCGATGTTTCGTGACAGTAATCAAGACAATGATGGAATGAGAAATAAATATTCCTAAACGAAGAAGACATGTCTGTCTTATTTCGAATTCTTACGCTCAGGATCGAAGCCGTCAAGCGCCTCAATTAATAGGCTAGATTAGTCCGTCTATGTAGATCCTCAGTGGCTTTAAGTTTTAGGCTTAGCCGCTATACTATCCAAAAATATCACTCCAGAGGCAGAGCACAACATCGACAGCTGTTCTTCAGAGATCTAATCAGCATCAAAACTATCCTAAATATCTTCATCATCATTATCAAACAAAACCATCATCATCAATAATATCATTAAGGTGGTAGGTGGTCATAAAGAGCTGGGTCTTTAGCTTTTTCTTAAAGGTGCAGAGGGACTCTGCAGATGGAGTTTAGTTCCTTTCACCAGTAGGGGGCGACAGAGGAGAAGAGTCTAGTTAGAGACTTAGGACCCTGTTGTGAAGGTTGGATCCAAGGGGCAACCTCCGGTCTCGAAAAATGAAGCCTATGCAGAAGTACAAAAAACTGCAGTTCCTCGAGGTTCCTCTTGAGGCTGGAAGTGCCATAAGCCCACAGCCAAAAAAGCCTGTTTTTACCACAGGAATCAACATGTTTACAACCTGGTTCAAAAAACGAGATATATCTGAGAAGTTGACGGCCCCTTCTCCTCACACTGTGGGGGGGGGGGGGTGAATGTTTTGATGACTCATCAGTTTTGATTTGATGAAGGATAAGAGTTATTCACAATAAGGTGTGTAGCTGACCAGCTTGACAGGCGGGTGCGGTGTAACGGTTTGTCAGGAGGTTTAAAACCCGCCTCAGCTCCAGCTCTCAGCCTGTGGGTGACATCACTCAGGCCATCCGGGGGAGACCTCCCTCACAGCGAGCTGTTGAAGAGAAACAACTGAAGTCCACCCCAGAAGAACCAACAAATACAGATGTTGTTGAGGCTCAGGTTTCTTCCTCTGTCTCTGCAGCTCTCTGGGCACCTCGACGGACCAGTCACCAATAATCCACACTGTGTCTATAGGAGAAATACAAAGGTGTTCAATTAATGCCTCAGACAAAATGTACAGTTAACTACATGTGACAGCTCAGGCTGTTTTTTTGTTATGAGCCACATCTGCAGGAATAATATTGAACAAGGTAGCTGCAGCTCATCATAATAGATGCCAGTCTTAAACACTATTTTTTCTAATACTTAAAGTTTTTGGTGTGAAGCTGACACTGTCCACAGACTCCATGACTTCACAGGTTCTATAGAAAACAAATGTCTTATAATAAATACTAAATAATTATTTTTCAGTTGTCATGTTCACCTCATCGCTGTTGACATCAGTAAATATAAGACACAGACATTCCTCTTTTTGTCAGAACAGTAACATGAACTGTATGCTTTGTAATATTGATTTCTTCTGGATGTCTCATATTTATTTACAGTTTATGGATAAAACTTTGTTCATGTATTTCTCTGCTAACACTGACAAAGTCTAACTGCTCTGACAAATAACTAATAACCATAGTTGTATATTTAACAAAGTGTAGTTTTAAGACTTTAATTAAATATTTGGGTTGAATATAATTCGTTTTAACTGTGTTGTAGAAAAGTTAAAGAGGGAGTGTAGACCTGGATCAGAGAGTTAAAGTAAGGAGGAGCTGGGGGGCGCTAGTGAGCACTGCGTGGATTAGTCGCTTTCTGTGGAGCTCTGTCACATCGCTAAAAAGTTGCTTATAATACACACTTTCATCTAGATTTCTCAAAAATGAACAGCTCTGGAAGAAGTGTCACCAAGGGGAAACCCTTAAATCCAAAATCTGCCTCCAAGAAGGATGGTGAGGATGGACCTGGAAGGGTCTGCAACTGACCATGAGACCCGCAGAACAGACCTCGAGAAACGGTGAGAGGAGTTGATGGAGAACAACACTGCCATGAAGCGCAAGCTGACCGACCATGAGAGCAGATCCAGACGCTCCAATATTCAAATCACCGGCTTACCTGAAAAGGTGGAGAAAGGCAACCCGACGCAGGTCATCGCGGAGTTTCTTCCAAAACTTCTCGGGGCAAATCATTTCCCCAGCAGTCTGAAAGTGGACCGGGCACACCGTATTGGCACACAGTCGTCACCTTCACGTCCACGCACCATGATCGCCAAAATTCACCACTTTCCAGAGAAGGAAGAAATTGTGAAGCTTGCCCGCCTGCAATCTCCTTTGTCTTTTCATGGAGTCCGGATCAGTGTGTTTCCCGACTTCTCACCCGAGATTTCTGAACAACGCCGAGCGAGGCAGGAATTAAACACGGTCTGATCTTCACTTTCAACGGCGAGCAGAAACTATTTCAGAAGCCTGCAGATGCCGAGGCTTTCATCGACAGGTTTATTACACCTGCTGCCACCCCGTGATCTGTTGGAGCCTCCGTTTCAGCTCGATGCTGCTCTCAGACCAACATCTGCCTCTGGGTTTATCTGCTTCCACAAGACAGTAAAACAGTTCCGAGTTTTGTTCTCTGCCTATTTTAATGAGTGTTTCAGACATGTGAGGGCTGACGGAGCAGGTCAGAAACTCCACCAGTCATGTACACCATGTTATTATTGGCTGACTGTCTCTTAAGACTCTTTCCTACAGGGTTTAGTTGTCTCTCAGTGTTTATGAGGGGATCCAAGTGCCTCTTCGTTTGGGGAAGTGGATGGGGGGAGGAGGGTTCACTGTATGTATACAATACTATATATTGTGTTTTGTTTTGTTCGCTCTTTCTACACTGCGTCATCAGAACCGTTATGTTGACTATATAACAACACTGTCTCAATATAAACAATGCTTTCATGGTTATCAGTAGTTCCTCTGTTTCGCCACAAGGTGGCAGTTTGACCTCATTGACCTGGAATGTCAGAGGCCTTGGAACTAACTTAAAGAGAGGCAAGGTTTCTTCCCATTTCAAATCTTTATCCGGAGACATTATGTTTATCCAAGAAACTCATATCAAACACACGGAGCAATGGAGGTTAAAATGCAGGTGGATATCACAGATATATCAGTCAACCTTTTCTTCTAAAGCTAGAGGTGTAGCCATATTAATCCGTCGAAATATCCCATTTGAGCACATTTCAACCATTTCAGATCCAAATGGCAGCTACCTTAAGAGTCACTGGTCACATTCTGTCTCGGCAGCCTGCAGGTAACGTTATTGAACATATATGCACCCAATTTAGAAAAATCTGCCGTTTTGCATTGCCACGGACAAAATCTAGTTCTTAGGAGTTGATATCCCTAAAGGCCCTAAATTAATTTATAAACTGAATTATTTGAACATGATAGAGAGACTCAAAGCCAACTGTAGGTATCCACTGAATGAAGCCGTAGCTTGACGCTCCCAGAACTCCTCTCTTCAGTCATTTTCATCCAAAAAATCCACGGGACCAAATGATCAAAGTTTAAATGTTTACTTAAACATAAATAAACAAAAAACAGATACAGGTTAGTCCAAAACTATACAAAAAGAGAGATGAGGAGAGAGAGGTCAAAAGACTGTGTGGCTCCACTCTCTACTAGTCTGAACTAAGCCCCTCCCCCTCCCAGATCCAATGAACAAAAAGTATTACATGCATCCATAAATGTAACATGATGAGCAATAAGGCTCCTACACCAACATTGAGTCCTGGAGACTGCTACCGCTGTCTATGTTAGGTCGAGTAAATGCAATCAAAATGATGGCACTCCCTACGTTTCTTCACCTCTTTCAAAATGTACCTATATTCGTGCCCAAAGCCTTTTTCAAGCTACTAGATTCCTTGATGTTGCCTTTCGTATGGGGTTTCAAAGCACATCGTATCTCTAAAAAGCATATCACTAAGTCAAAGTCTGCAGGTGGCCTTGGTCTCCCTGACTTTCGGTACTATGATTGGGCTGCAAACTCTAGAGCACTGATGTACTGGAAAGATGCTTATCCAGGTAAAGTCACCCCCTCAACCCCTTCATGGCTGGCAATTGAACAGGATCTTTTGAAAACCTCCCTCCCCGCTCTTCTATTTTCACAAACCAGATCCCCTGCAACTATTACGGGCAATAACTTTAGAATCACAAACTCTTTGAGAATTTGGTATCAAATACGGAAATCATTTAAATGACCTGAAACTTCTGCTTATACACCTGTTTGCTGCAACCATGCCTTCCCTCCTCAATCACAGATAATACTTTCAGACTCTGGTGGAATAAAGGCATCATCACCATTGCAGACCTTTATGTTAATAACACTTTTGCCACCTTTCTACAGTTAAAAGAAAAATATACACTGCCAGATTCGCATTTCTTCCATTTTCTCCAGATTAGAGACTACATCCGCACAAATATTTCAAACTTTCAGTCAATGCCAACCCCAAGCGAACTTTATAATCTTATAAACCAGAGTCCTGACTCGAAACGATTAATCTCCAGATTTGTAGATCTTATCACAGCACATAACCCTGTTTCCACACAGCACCTAAAAAGATCTTTGTGTATCAGTTGGTCACGAGACCTGGGAAACCTACTTTAAAAACATTTATAGTTGTTCTATAAACTCCAGACACCAACTTATTCAATTTAAAATACTTCATAGGCTTCATTATTCCTGCACCAAATTGCACTCCTTTTATCCGTCTGTTTCTCCAACCTGTCCAAAGTGTAAATCAGCTGAGGGCACTCTGGGTCACCTATTCTGGTCTTGCCCTAAACTAAATAAGTTCTGGTCAGATATTTTTAATTGCTTCTCTGAAATGTACAACTTTGACATTACACCAGATCCTTTTACAGCCATTTTTGGCGGAATTCAACATTCATTAAACTTGTCTCATCTACAACAAAAGACATTACACTACGGCATGGTTGTTGTGAAGAGGAATATTCTGTCTCTCTGGAAGAGTGGAGATATACCCTTTTTTAGGACCTGGCTACAAGAAATGACTAACCTGTTACATATGGAGAGGGTCCCATATAGTGTCTCTCTCAGCTCTACAACCTTTGATAAAATGGGGAACCATTCTTGTCTTACTTATCAAAGACAACCTAAAGTTTTATTCTGCTTGTATACGTTTGTGCAAACAGTTGTCCACACTACTTATATGTCTAGAAACCATGTACTTATACTGTCCTAGGCCAATGAGACACACCGTGATCTCTTAACAGTTGGCGCTGATTCTTTTAAAAAAAATGTTGACTTACTGTATTGTAAGATATCCTATAAGAGCATGTCTTTGTTGTTGTTTTGCTTTATTTTCGCACTGCCCTATGTTTCTTATTTTTCTAATTCCTCTTTGTCTTTTTGTTGCTGTGCTGTTTGTTTATAAAACTGAAAATGTATAAATAAAATATAAAAAATAAAAAAAAAAGTAAGGAGGAGCTGTTTTTGTCTCATATGTGTAAAAGAACCTTTAGCAGCTTAAACTTAAAGCCACTGAGGATCTACATAGACGGGCTAGTTTAGTTTATTAATTGAGGCTTTGCTCCTGAGCGTAAGATTGCGAAATAAGACAATCCAATATCTTCTTCTTCTATGGAATATTTATTTGTCAATTCCATCGTTGTCTTAATTAATGTCATATGTGTGATGTTCAAACAATAATCCAGACATTTCAATTCAGATTCACTCTGTCACCTCATAGTGTACAGCGGTCAAAGAAGTGTATTTACTCCCCGTCTAGCAACACCTGACACCTCAGTGAAAGTTCCTACCTTCATAGATTATCATCTTAACCACAAGGCGACACCTGCTGGAACTATTTGTGTTCTGCACTTCATAAACATGGCTCCTCCAGAACCTTTACAACCTCATGAACAGAATTGACAAAGAGGAGATGACACTCACTTCAGCCTGTATCTAATTATAGGTGTTCAATAAGTGCGGTGAACAAATCTTAAATGAATGGACCATTTCTTAACATTATACTCTGTTGTACACGTTGTTGATTAGAAGAACATGTGTGGCAGCAGCGCTACAGTAATAAAACATTTCCACATAATAATCCTGAACATGTCTAGAAGATCTCAGGCAGACTGCTCCTGAAAACATGTTTTATAATCTGCATTTGTTGAAGCTGTGTTACATGTTTCACCTGCCAGGGTCCTGCTGGAACGAGAGGACCAGAGGGACGTCAGGGAGAGAAGGGAACCAAGGTGAGTTTAGAGCTTTATAGTGTATTCTCACTCCCTGTGGTTCTATATGAAAAATGTAAATTGGTGATAGTTCGCTTTAATGATCCTGTTATAAATCTCTACTTTGATCTCGTTTTGTGAAATGATATTGAAGTTTAATTTATTATGTTGTTATGTTGCTGTGCTGCTTTATTAATACTGTGACAGTACTAAAAACATGTTTTATTATAATTCTCATCATCATTGTTTACAGGGAGAAACAGGTGCTGTTGGACCCCCAGGAAAAACTGGACCTGTTGGTCCCCAGGGTGTACCAGGAAAACCAGGAACAGAGGGTCTCCGAGGACTTCCAGGATCAGTGGTCAGTAAAGATTGTGATAGTGACTGCATGGTGTGTTGGCTGGCCATGTCCTCCTAACTGTGTTTCTAAATATGTTTCAGGGTGAGCAAGGATCTCCTGGACCTTCTGGACAGAAAGGACCACCTGGACCTCTCGTAAGATAACAATGCCTTTTATTTCCTTTTCTATTTGCACTCTGCACTCTCACAGTGCGTTCAGTAAAGAGAAGTTGATCAAACAGATGTCCGTTCTCCAGCTGCTGTTTCTTTCAAACCTCTAACTTTGTCTCTTATCTCTCCTTTTGTCTCACCAACAACCTCACCGCTGTTTCCTCCTCTCCTCTTCTTTCTCTCCTTCTCCTCTTGCAGGGACCTCCTGGTTTGCCTGGCCTGCGTGGAGAACCCGGTTCCAAGGGAGAGAAAGGACACCCAGGTCTTATCGGTCTCATTGGCCCCCCAGGAGAGCAGGGAGAGAAGGGAGACAGAGGTATGCCTGGCCCTCATGGAACCTCCGGACCAAAAGGAGAGTCTGTAAGTCGCACTTCTTTTAAAACCTTCAGAAAAGCAGCTCAACAAAATGATAAACCTCTTTTACATCGCCTGTTAAAGATGGGAATGTTATCTCCTATTTACCCTTCACAAAGAAATCACAGAGCCACAGTTTTGGTAAAGTAGTTCTACTGGTGTGCTGGAGATAGAGACAGAGGTGTGTGTGTGTGTGTGTGTGTGTGTGTGTGTGTGTGTGTGTGTGTGTGTGTGTGTGTGTATGAATGTTAAAGCTGTTTGTTTACATGTTGTCCCTCCTGCTGCATCACCGTAATGCAACGTAAAACTCCACACTGGGACACCAATATTACGCTGTTGCAGGTGAAATGTAAAAGCACAGAGGCTAAGTGACAGTGGAGTTTCTTACAGCATTGCAGTGGAAACTGTTGAATTTCATTATAATAAACATGTTTGTAAACTATTGTCATGTTGAACATGTCTCCGGTTTTGTTTCAGGGAATGGCTGGAGGAACTGGACCCCTCGGCCCTGCTGGTCCTGCTGGTCTGCCAGTGAGTAGTCCTGTTTGTCTTGTGAACATGCTATCTCTCTTTGTTCTTCCACTTCACTTAGTTCCCCAGATTGAATAAAGTACCAATGCAATGCAGCAAAACACTACGCATGTCATGGTCACCAAACTAAAGGCTCACCTCGTTTACAGGGTCCTCAAGGTGTTAAAGGAGCCAAGGGTTCTTCTGTGAGTATTCTTCAACAGCGTTTGTACCTCACAAACACAATGAGATTGTTCCTGACTCCTACATCAAATCTGATCTGATTCTGTATTTGCTCTTAAATCTTTCCCCTCTCTGCTGCGTTTAGGGAGGATCTGGTCCTAAGGGAGAAAAGGGAGTACAAGGACCTCCTGGACCTCCTGTAAGTACTCATGCACTCTTTGTGAAAAGAAAGACAATTACATTCTAATCTGCTCAGTATGGATGTAACGATTCACTCAACTCAAGATATGATCAAATCATCATATTGGGTTCAGGATAGGATTTCATCCCGACTTTCTAAATATTATAAGCAGCAGCTGCTATCTACAGCGACCATCAGAGGTAACTAATCCCATTCACACACACCGACGACCAAGCAGTGGGAGCAATTTGGGATTAAGTGTCTTGCCCAAGGACACGTCGGACATGTGGATGCAGGATGTAGTGATTGAACCCCTGAGCTTCTGGTTGAGAGACGACGACTCTACCACTGAGCCACAGCCCCACAAATCCAACATTTAAAAAAACACATGTATAACACAAAAAAGAAAATCTCTTGAAATAGCAGATTTGCAGCCTGTTTTTCTGTCATTGATGCACAGAAAGCTTTTAAAAGACTCAGAATGTTTTTCACTTTGTGACACCTGATGTACATACTGAATAGTAGTATGTAGAGGCGGTTTTGAAAACAGACACATTATCCACATCTTCACTTGCTTAGTATTTTTGATTGTCTCCTGAGGTATCGTTACATCTCTACTGCTCAGTGATTTCACCTCGTTACAGTTTCTAAGTCGATTTATTGAGATGTAAACTTGCTTCCAAGGGCCCACCAGGTGAGGTCATCCAGCCCCTGCCCATCCAGAGGAGCCCCAAGTCCAAGCGCTCCATCGACGCCAGCCAGCTGCTCCCAGAGAGCGACTCAGACATGCCTGCATCCGACGCCACTGGCACTGAGTTCCTGATGGGCAGTGAAGGCATGGAGGAGATCTTTGGCTCTCTCAACTCACTGCGACAGGAGATTGAGACCATGCGATTCCCACTGGGTACCCAGGACAGCCCTGCTCGCACCTGCCAAGACCTGCACCTCAGCCAGCCAGACCTCAAAGACGGTAAGGGAGTCAACCCACAAGCCTGCTCAGCGTAATAATCCCTGCATCAGGTTTTGATAATGTTCTTTGTGTGGTGATCATCGTCAAGTCAACATGTCGATGAAGCTGATCAACATATATGAAAGAGAGAGAGTGGGGACTGACATGAGAGAAAGGAGCCACAGGTCGGAATCAAACCTCTGACCTCCTCGCCCAACCAGCGCCCCATTCCTAAGAGTTCTAACATTTACATTTTACTTTCTCTGCCCCCCCTGCAGGAGAGTACTGGATTGACCCCAACCAGGGCTGCTCCAGGGATGCCTTCAAGGTTTTCTGTAATTTCACTAATGGAGCAGAGACATGCCTGTATCCCAGCATCAATACGGTCAGTATATCACAAACACTTTAAAATCTCCTCATTATCCTTTAAAATAAAAGACATGTTAGTCTCTGAGTGCAACTTTAAAAACATTGAACTGATGTGGGAACATTCGATGTTGGTGAAGATTTGAAGACTCTGATTGCTCCCTTTCTAAAAACTCTTTGCATCCTCACATTGTGGTTTTTGTACATTAATAATCAAACTAAGAAAATCTCAGCATGAATAAAGTTCACAAACACTTGAACAAGGTTGATGTTAAATTTTATTTTAGCCACAAAACCTGTTTGTTTTATTTGTTAAATAATAAAAACATCAACATCTTCAACTTAACATGTGATGTGGTTATTATGTTTTCAGGTAAAGATGAGCTCCTGGGACAAAGAGACTCCAGGATCCTGGTACAGTCAGTTCTCCACTGGCAGCAAGGTCCGTAACCTTCTGTGACCTTCTGTGACCTTTAAGATTATAGTTTCATTCTTACCTTAACTTCCTCTGATCCTCTTAATGACCTCCTCTTCCTCATCCTCTACCAGTTCTCCTATGTGGACTCTAATGGCGAGCCTGTGGGCGTGGTCCAGCTCGGCTTCCTGCGTCTCCTGAGCATCCAGGCCCGCCAGAACCTCACCTACCACTGCCATCGCTCGGTGGCCTGGGCCGACCGAAGCGCCAAGAACAGCTACAACAGAGCGCTGCACTTCCAGGGCGCCAACGAGGAGGATCTGAGCTACGAGACCAACCCTTACATCAAGGCCTTGGTGGACGGCTGCTCTGTGAGTTAACACACATAAACCAAACCTCCCTGCTACACCTAAAGGATACATCTGTGGAAACGACCTTCTAAATGTTTGACCTGTCTAATCATGGACATTTAAAAATCAAGCAGCCTAATCTAAAGTGCATCAGTGATGAGTTTCTATATTTCTCTAGTTCTGATGCAGTTACATAACGTGAACATAAAAACACTTTTACAAGAGTAGACCTCATTCTTCACAATCTTACCACCCTAAAGAAAATGCTTCCTGTTTCTGAAACGTGTCTCTCTCTCCGTCTCTGTCTGCAGTATCGTAAGGGCTTCGATAGGACAGTGCTGGAAATCAACACGCCACAAGTGGAGCATCTTCCTCTGCGGGATATTAAGGTGTCAGACTTTGGGGAGAGCAACCAGCAGTTTGGCTTTGAAGTGGGACCTGTCTGTTTCCAAGGCTAAAAACACACACATCCTGAGCGGAACAACACTACAAACACTCACACACATGCACTTAGAGACACATTGATATAAAAACACATACATGCCCAGTAATTTGTAAATTAACTTGTAAATGATATGAAAACACACACACATACACACACTGAGATACACAGATGCGGTTGTGGGACAAACAAGCGCTCACACTCAAGTACGTGCCTGGGAAACTCAACATCGTCCCAACCAATAATGGACGTCAAAAATAAGTCAAGAGGAGAGAAATAAAAACTCGCAGAGAGGAGATCATCGTTTGGGCGCACCACAGCAAGAAAGGAAGAAAGAAGCCAGGAGAGAGTGTTTCTGAAGAATGAAACAGTGTTGTTTTACCAGCAGCCAAAGAGGCCGGCCTGAGACAGAGAACAAGCCGGCGACATCTGAAGCCCCTTGTCTCCGATCCCCCTCTCACTCCTCTCTCCTCCCCACGGTCTCCCCCTTTTTTTATCCACTCATCCCACTTGCTCTACCTCCTGCTTCCTCCTTCTAAAAAAAAAGGGTCACACTCGGACTTTATCTGCATTTCTTTAATCTCACGTTCACACTGCGGGCAACATGGTTGACAGTCACTCTTTTCAGACTGAAGAGCGGTGCAACATATGAGGCTGAATGCATCCGTACGGTTTGAAAAGTTAGTTTCGGTTCACAGCTTTGGTGTTAAATGCTTCAGTCAATTGAGAATTGAATGTTTTGAATCAACTTTCTTCTCTAAGCCAGCACTCCCACTCATGAACCTAAAAGAAACCTGCAGGCGCCAAACTTTGGAAGTAAAATGACGGCCAGTGGTCAGTTCAAATCTTCTTTACGGGCTCAGTCATCTAGCTGTCTATTTCTGTGACATGTGTGTAAACACTCAGTGACTTGTCAATCGTGTTGCTCACATTGGAAACACTTTTTAACTCACAGCTCTTTTCTTATTGTATCAAAAGGAACCAAAGAAATAAAGCCACCAGTTTCCTCCCAGAATGAAGAGGGAACCAACCGAAGGATGCCATGCTTGTTAGATTGAAGTTTTTCTTTTGTTACAGCGGCTTCTCTTTATGATTATCTTTCAGTGTCATTAAAAACACTCTATAAATGTGATTCACAGCTCATACTAATGGTTGAAAAATCTTTCTGGTGTGATGCAGCAAGGATTGTAGAGTCCAGTGAGAAGCAGGAGTTATTCTTTGTTAGACCTGTTTCCTTTGAGAGCAGCAGAAACTCTCTTTGAATTGTTGGTTTGTTACGCAGGACAAAACTTGCTGCGTGCAGTGAGGCAAAATAAAGATGTGTGGAAACCTTGGTCAGGGAATTAAATAGCCATTGTTTTTGTAAGCTGTGCTACGCCTGATGCTGTTGTACTTACATGCTACTTGTGCCTTTTAAACAGCTGATTGGTCTTTAAATCAAGGATCAGGCTATGAGGGTCTCCATCCCACACCAGTCTAGCATTTACTGAGTCACTTTCTGGGTACTTTGATTTTTTTTAAATCCAAAACATGTTTTCTGATTATCAGAACCTCGTCAGGGTTTAAATATGTACCTGGGAGCCCTCTCCCATCTTTGTTCTCCTACAGCAGTGAATTAAATGCATGCAGAAACTGTGTGGCAAGGTGCTAATTATACCAAAGTATACAAGTTGTAGTATTCACTTTCCACCCCTCCTTCACTCTCTTTAGTCTCTTTTATAATTTCATGAAGCTTTTTTACTGGGGAAAATGTGCATTACATTCCATTTGTACAGAAATAGTGATATTCTATTGTATTTATTTAAAACAAACAGGGTGCTATGAGATAAAAAAAGACCACCAAATATTCACGTCAAATGTGGTATATTTCATTTGTATTTATTTCCTGTAGCTGACACTCAAGTGTTCAAGTGACTAGAGTGACTTACATGTTCAACTATCTTCCAGCTTGAGCTAAGGTGCTTCTGTTCACGCCCTGTCCAAACTCCTCCTGTAGAACCAAAGAATCTGTGGCCATATTTGATTGTAATATCCCTTTTTTTAGTGTTTTCATCAACTGTACTGTGCTGTTCAATTTTGCTTCCACTGTAATGATTAAATGGTGACTCTCCAGCTCTGTCGTTGCTACTGTTTCACTCGACGTCTATTGGTTTCAAACTCAGCTTCTTGCTTAACTGGGCTTTTAAATGCATCAAAGAAATTCAGTTCACTGAGTCAGTCCCTGCATTGATCAACATGTTTAAATATTAACACAATCCTCTGAGCTTTAAAATGAACATCTGTGATTTAAGTGGGTAGGAGGACATTTGTGAGAGGGAGGGGACGACCCTGTCTGCCGACATGAGTGGCCACAAGATGGCATACAAGGGCTTAGCTTTGTTTTGTTTTTTATTGTTTGACCTTTTTTAAAGTATAGCTCAGAAACTCGACGGGATGACCAAAACCTTAAAATGAATAAATCTGACTTTGAGATCCTCCAGAAACAATGACCTAAACATATTTCCTTTGTTCTGAAGACAAACATAAAAAATATGGTGCTGAAAAGAGTAAAAAGTATTATTTTATAATGTGTGTAAGTAATTTTTTTAAATTCTTGTTTCTGTAATATATAATCTTTTTAAAAGAGCTGCTTGACTCTTGTTTTTCTTCCTAACATCTGTCATCGTACGTCTCTTTGACTACTTTTGGCCACAGGATGTTGCCATCTCTTATTCATTCAGGTAGATAATAGATGGATTTTAAGGTGTCGCCTTGTAACAAGACAAGCAGTTAAACCCCTGCTTCCTGTGTGGGGTGATATATGATATATGAAAAAGATGTGCTTTTTAGTTTTCTCACACCAAGATTGATTTTTTCTTCTTCGCTGAGCTCTTTTTGTAATATTTATTCTGATCATTCGCGTGCATTATTTTGTATCTATCAATCGATCCTTTCTTCTTGTCTTTCATGATTCATTAATTAAACTAATCAGCAGTAGGAACCAAAGTTAGCTGCTGTTGTAGCTACTCCGGACGTTTAAGCAGGTGCACCAACAGCGTTAGTGACAATAATGCTAATGCTAACTCTGGGTTGTTTGTCATCCATGTTTACATTAACATTGTAATACAGATACAGATTCTTTACTATTTTTAACCAACAACACATTCTTGTAGTTTTGGGTTAGTTTGACGCAGGTTGGTCTTTTAAATCTGTTACTTTAATGTTTTACAGGAAACGTCCGTTTACATTTCCGGTTTGCTAACTTCGCTCAATGAATTCAGTCGAGAGGACAGAACACGACATTATGTGTTTTTTATTGAACCATTAAACCAATCAGGTTCTTTAACATTCAGAGAACACCTTTCAATTACTTTTATTAAGATTGTGATTTTATTCATTTCAGTGTAATTCTTCATCCTATCCGTCACGTATCGACTAAACAGCGCCCTCTTGTGGCCGGTTGGAGTTAATCCCCCTTTAAGTTTCTCAGCAGTTTAATGCAGATACTCAAATGAGTTTAAAGATTCATCATCAACAGGTCATTGCACGATATCATACCAAAGATGCTGCATGATTTA